GTTCATGTCATCAGCACATAGGGAAAGTTTTACTTCTCCTTTCCAATTTGGGTATCTTTTATTTCTTTGCTTTTTCTAATGACTCTGACTAAAACCTTCAGTACAGTGTGAATAGTAGTAGTGAAAGCAGGCAGTCTCGTCTTGTTCCTGATCCTGAGGGACTTTCACTGTTAAATATGATATTAGCTGTAGACATTCTTCATGAATGCCCTCATTAGCAGTCGTTTCAGTTCTCTGACCATTCGTTTCCTCATCTGTCATTTGCCTTTTTGGTCTGACAAATCCACTCCTTGACTTTTTTCAACGTTCTGGAAGGGCTTCATTTTCTCCATGAAGCTAGGATAATATCCTGGCTATCGGTTCATTTCTTGTCATCTCCATGGGAGTGATCCTAGTCCAAGCCACCATTCTATCTTGCTTGATTATGGCAATAGCATCCAAATAGTTGGATAGCCCTTTGTGTACCTTTCCAAACTTGCCTTCTTACAGCAGCCAGCAACAACTGTACCAGTTCAGACAGATGTGGATGCAGGTAGTGGAAACTTGTAAGAGACTGATCAAGTGTGAAAATGTATTAGATCATAGTATGCTCAGACTCCAGAGCTGGTGGATTCAGTAGCTCAGTGCCGTCATCGGAGCCCCACGTTCATTTTGTCTCTCTCTGCCATCCTGTTTGTCCTCCCGCTGATTTCCTTCAATATGGCTGCCTGCGGGAAACAGGACAGCATTCTTGTTCACTCATAATGAGAGAAGTAAAGATAGAAACAGGGATGAGAGAAGAGAAATTATTCACATTCCGTGCTGTTTTTCTGGCATGGAGTGTGAATAACTTTCTTCACCCTAATAGGCCAACTCAGGCTGTAGTTGGCTCCTCTGACCTCTCAAATCATAGTTTTCAGGGTGGGTATGGTGGATCATGCCTGTACTCCCAACACTTTAGGAGGCCCAGGGTGGAGAATTACTTGGGTGCAGAAGTTCCAGGCAAGTCTGGGCAATATAGCAAGAACTTGTCTCCACAAAAAACTATTTAAAAAATATTAACGGAGTGTGGTGGCTCAGGCCTGTAGGCCCAGCTACCCAGGAGGCTTAAATGGGAGGGTCAGTTGAGGCCAGGAGTTTGAGATTAGCCTGGGCAACATAGCAAGACCCCATCTATACACACACACATGCACACACGCACACACACACACACACACACACACACACAGACACTCTCTCTCTCTCTTTCTCTCTCTCTCTCTCATAGTTGTCAGTAGAATAGCTTAGATTTGTCATAATATCTCTGTGGTGTGTGGAAAGGGGTGGATACCCAAACTCAGGCACAATATTACTAGGAATGAGGAAAGTGAAATGGGTGATGGTCAGTTATCTTTCTAATAATTAAAATCCGATCATATTAATCTGGTGCTTCACAATCTCCAGTTGCTCCTAGAATTGTACCAGGAAGTCCAGAAGGCAAATGTATCCCCACCCCACTCATCTCTACGTCTAATCTCCTGTCCTTTTCTGTTTACATCTCCCCTCAATGGATCCAGTTACAATGATTGAAAAACTGCCACAAAGTCTCTGACTTTGTGCACCTGCTCTCCTGTCCACCTGGACTGCTCATCCTCACACCTGGCCACACGCTGCACGTGGCCACAGCCTCCTGCTTCTGTGGATTCCAGAACACACTTCACTTCCTGAAAGCCTTTCTTGACCACCAACCTGACACAGCTCTTCCTGGCTTTCAGCCCCAGACATTGTCTCCCATGCCCGTGTGTGTGGCTTCCTTTTCGTAACATGACATGCACTTCAAAACTGTGAATTTGTTTGTGCGTTTGTCTGCCTAATGTCTGCCTTTCCAACTAGACCGGGGGGCATGATAAACTTTTTCTGTAAAAGATCAGGTAGCATTTTAGACTTTGTTGGCCATACAGTCTCTGTTTTGAGATCACTCCAGGTGCTGTGTGTGTGTGTGTGTGTGTGTGTGTGAGAGAGAGAGCGAGAGAGAGACAGCATGTGTGTGCAAATGTGTGTGAGCATGTGTTAGTGCATGTGTGTGAGTGTATGCATGTATGAGTGTGTGAGCATATGTGTACATGCATGTGACTGAGATTGACAGTATGAGTGAGCATGTGAGAACATGTATAAGTGCATGCATGTGTGAGTGTGTATGCATGTGTGTGACTGCATGCATATGTGCGTGTGTTTGAGAGCATGTGTGCACCATATACACCATGGAATACTATGCAGCCATAAAAAAGGATGACTTCATGTCCTTTGCAGGGACATGGATGAAACTAGAAACCATCACTCTCAGCAAACTGACACAAAAACAGAAAACCAAGCACCACATGTTCTCACTTATGAGTGGGTGTTGAACAATAAGAACATATGGACACAGGGAGGGGAATATCACACACTGGGGCCTGGGGGATGGGGGGCTAGGGGAGGGATAGCAGGGGGTGGGGGACTGGGGACGGATAGCATTAAGAGAAATACCTACTGTAGATGACGGGGCAATGGATGCAGCAAACCACCACCATGGCATGTGTATACCTATGTAACAAACCAGCACCATCTGTACATGTACCCCAGAACTTAAAGCATAATAAATAATTTTTTTAAAAAGAGAGTATGTGTACACATGGATGTGACTGTGGGAAATAGTGTGTATGTGAAAGAGTATGTGCTTGTGTGAGTGGGTGACAGCATGTGTAAGTGCATGCACGTGTGTGTGTGCACATTGTGTGTGTGCATGCATGTGTGAGTGAGGGTATGTGTGCACATGCATGTGATTGGGATAATATATGAATGTGTGAGAGACTGTATATGTGAGCATGTGATGGTATGTGTAAGTACATGCATGTGAGAATGTGTGCACGTGTGTGTGCACATGCCTGTGTGAGCATGTGTGTGAGAGCATGTGTATGTGCGTGCATGTTGTATGTGTGTGTGTTAGAGCATGTGTGAGTGAGACTGCATGTGTGTGTGAGTGTGTGCATGTGTGAGAGGGAGCACATGTCAGCTTATGCATATGAGGAGGAAACTCCTCTTGCACTTAATATCTTAGTACTTAGGGGGACCATGTCCTGAGAACCTCAAGAATTCTCTGGACTTGACTTAGCCCAGGATTTGTAGTTTTATTTTTGCTGGTGCCTGTCAGGAGGAAATCTTGTCATTAGAACATAATAGATGAAATTAATTTTTCCAACTCTGATGGAAGTCTTCCCTGTCCTTGCCACTCCAGTTTGTTCTGTACGGTGACCAAGATTATCCTTCCAAAATACAAAGTCGTGTGCACCCCTCCCTCCGTCAGCTTCTCTCTGTGTTCCTCTCAGGGACATGTTTATGTCACAGGCATTACCGAGAGCCTGCTTTGCCTGGGGAATCGTGCTGGGTACTGGAGTGACAGACGTAAGCATGACGCCACAGTTTCTGATTGCCACGTTTCAGTTCCTTTATGCGTGTCACTAAGGCCACGTTTCAATACAGATTCGGTCTCATTTTTGGTCACTTTCCCGCCTGCTAGACTGTAGTCACACATTTCCTGAAACATCCCCATTGTCACGCCTCTGTCTTTCTCCCACTTCTATAACATCTTTTCCACAGTCTATTAGAATGCTTTATTCTCTCTCTGGCTGTCATAAAACTTAGCAAATGACTTGTATAGAGATGATCACGTTTTGCTATAATAAATTGCTTTTTAAATTGATGCGACTTGCTACATTATGCATAACCTGAGGGCAGAGATGTATCCTCTCTATGATTGTATTCAAGGGACTAAGTAGGGGACCCGGAGTAACTTAGTAAAATTTGGAGGAATTGCTGGATTGACTTATTTACAAAACAGAAATAACAGATACCTACCTCTTCTGACTGCATCACAGAACAACTAGAGGCACAGATAATATAGATGTGTAAGCTTTTAGAAAATATAATGCCACATAAATACAGGGTGGCGTCATGCTTGATTATATGTTCACATTGCAAGTTTGTTCTGATTATCATTACATCGTTGATTTTACATTCACCGAGAAGTTCCCACATTAGATACTCATGCTGAGTAGTTGACGCTAGCTGATACACTTTGAGACTGAGTCACATGTGAACTTCAGGGTTGGCATTAGGTAAAATTGTCTTCAGCAGTTTCTGCTCCTACTTTTCCCAATTTTTACTCATCTTCTATTTTGACGCTCTTACCAGGGTCAAATGCATTTATACAATTCCCCTTTTAATAGGGGCATGCTTTTTACACTGACATGCTAATATGTTCCCAACAAGTTCTTAAAATTTGAACTTTTATTTTACAAGATAAAGAAGAGAGCAATGATGAACCTAAAAAATAAATCCTAGTTTGATATTGTACTACAATTATGTAAGATATAACCCCTGGAAGAACCTGGAGGCAGGCACCTCTCTGTACTGTCTTTGTGACTTCTTGTGACTCTATAATTATTTCAAAATAAAAAGTTAAATCACTCACAATGATAGATCTGCATGTGCCCACCATACTTTTGTATCTGACGGGCTTTTGATCTGTGTTTTGGTCCTCACCAAAGCAAATGCCTGAGGTCAGCAAGGAGGAAGAGGTGAAAGGAAGGCCATGGACGGGCTGTCAGCACTGGGCGGAGGAGGATCCCTCCACGCACTTCAGCCTCTGCCTCATCTTATGTGATCATTGAGGACTTCCTTGTTCCATGCACACACCACCTTTCAATTATTATTCATATTTTTACATCTTTATTTTAGTTTCTGCCTCCTCCCCGTAGAATGTTAATTTCTATCGTGGCAAGAATTTTTTTTATATTATTGTATCCTCATTGCCTACAGCAGAGTTGGGCACAGAGAATGCATGCAATGCATGTTTGTTGAATGAATGAATCCTTGCAGAAAATGAAAGCTTGAAAACAAGATGACTGGTTCCCCGAGAGAGAAATAACTCAAATCTGCCCATCCTCATAAGAGAGCAAACCTGTCTTTTAAGCTAACACCTTTTTCCTGTGTTCATACTCTAGAAAAAGAAGACACGACTGATAACATCTGAGAGGAAGGAAACTACATTGTGCTGAGCCTCTGCATGTCAGATTATAAAAAGTAATTTTTTAAAATAGACCAGCCTTTTGAACAGTTTCCAGACATGGATTATCCTACTTTCCTTTTGGCTCTTCTTCATATCTACAGAGGTAAAGATCATCTTTATATCTTCGTTTGAAATTTCCTGTTTTTGTTTGTACGGTATGGCATATTCAGAATTTACAATGCTCTTTAATTGGCGAGGATAATTTCTCACTTGTTGAGAAAATCTAAAAGTTATGTTTTCCAGTTGTCAGCAGGCTACCTTTTTAGATGAAGGCAGAAACTAAGCCTTTACTGTGATCTCAATGTACTATTTTGCTGAAACTTCAAAAGCTTAAGATATTGATTTAGTGTTTCCATCATTAAGACTAACAGAATTAATGTGATGTTGTCTATTTCAGCTCTATGTGAAAAGGTGCTTTGGCATACATCAGTTCCCTTTGCTGAGAATATGTCCCTAGAATGTGTGTATCCATCAATGGGCGTCTTAGCACAGGTGGAGTGGTTCAAGATCGGGACCAAGAAGGATTCCATAGCCATTTACAGCCCTACGCATGGTGTGGTCATAAGGAAGCCCTATGCTGAGAAGGTTTACTTTTTGAATTCAGCGATGTCTTCCAACAACTTGACTCTTTTCTTTCGGAATGCCTCCAAAGATGATGTTGGCTACTATTCCTGCTCTCTTTATGCTTACCCAGAGGGGTCTTGGCAGAAGGTGATAAAGGTGGTTCAGTCAGGTAAGGGCAAGGTTTTAATTTATTTCTATCCCTTTTTATCCACCTACAACATTTGGTAATGTAAAGCCAAAGTAGAAGCTATGGAATGCTTTCTCATATTTCTGTGGCATTCTCCAATGCCATTTGTAGATGCTTTGATGTTACTGTTTCAAAGGAGCAATCTTGGGAGCGTGTTTCATTTTTCTGAATGTGCTGTCGTGTCTGAGTAGAAGTGTCTTTCAAATCTAATGTAGTAGGAGAAAGCGCATGTTGTCTTAATGATAACCTGGGACTTGATTAAACTGATGTTGGCAATGCACTGGTTCAGGATCCTGATGCCTTCCCATCAGGGCTTTAACCCAGTGACGTGGTGCCATTCCCTTCTGATGAATACTCAGCACTCACGGATGTTCAAGGTTCTTCCTACAGTACTGAAGCTAAGTTTACTAGTGAATCCTGGGCAAGAGTTCAAAACCTGACCCCACTCCTCCCTTCCCTTCCCCTCCCCTCCCTTCCCCTTCGCTTTCCTGACATAGTCTCATTTTGTCACCCCAGCTGGAATGCAGTAGCATGATCTCAGCTCACTGCCACCTCCAGCACCTGGGCTCAAGGGATTCTCCCACCTCAGCCCCGCAAGTAGCTGGGACTACAGGTGTGCACAACCACATGATATAGTTTGGCTGTGTCCCTACCCAAATCTCATCTTAAATTCCCATGTGTTGTGTGAGGGACCTGGTGGGAGGTAACTGAATCATGGGGGTAAGACTTTCTTCTGCTGTTCTCGTGATAGTGAATAAGTCTCATGAGATCTGATGGTTTAAAAAAGAGGAGTTCCCCTGCACAAGCTCTTTCTGTTTGCCTGCTCCCATCTGCGTAAGATGTGACTTGCTCAGGCCGGGCGCGGTGGCTCAAGCCTGTAATCCCAGCACTTTGGGAGGCCGAGGCGGGTGAATCACGAGGTCAAGAGATCGAGGCCATCCTGGTCAACATGGTGAAACCCCGTCTCTACTAAAAACTACAAAAAATTAGCTGGGCATGGTGGTGCGTGCCTGTAGTCCCAGCTACTCAGGAGGCTGAGGCAGGAGAATTGCCTGAACCCAGGAGGCGGAGGTTGCGGTGAGCCGAGATCGCACCATTGCACTCCAGCCTGGGTAACAAGAGCGAAACTCCGTCTCAAAAAAAAAAAAACCCTAAAAAAAAAGATGTGACTTGCTCCTCTTTGCCTTACACCGTGATTATGAGGCTTCCCCAGCCGTGTGGAACTGTGAGTCCAATTGAACTTCTTTCTTTTGTAAATTGCCCAGTCTCGGGACTGTCTTCATCAGCAGCGTGAAAACAGACTAATACACCACGCTAGGATAATTCTATTTTTTTTGCAGGGATGAGGTTTCATCATGTTGCCCAGGCTGGTCTTGGACTCCTGAGTTCAAGTGATCCAACTGCCTCGGCCTCCCAAAGCGCCAGAATTACAGGCATGTGCCACCATGCTTGGCCCTGGCTCCATCTTTTGCCTCAACCAAGTTTAGCTAGAGAGGACACTTTCTTCATAAATTGTGAGCTGTGGTGGCAGAAAGAACCTAGTGATCCCTTGGAGTGGTTTCTGATTTATCTACCAGAGATTGTGGTTTTGTCCTTCTAGTGATGACCACATGAACTGGTTGTAGTGTTGATAGTCATCACTTTCCATCAACCTTGTGTTAGTTGCTCAATCCCTCTGAATCTCAGGTTCCTGAACAGGAAATTGGGTTAGTAGTACTGTTCGACTTGTTGAATGGCCTCGGAACAATATATTTAAAGAACTTGACCCATGGTAGTTAGAGAATGACACGTCGTATTATTATTTCCTATGCTTGTGATCCAAAAGGGCTAATAATGGAATTGTCAGATATTAATGACAGTCTAAAGAAGGGAATATTTTTGGAGCCGTGTGGTTCTTGTGTGGTGTCTCTGAAATTATACTCCATAGCTGTATAGAGAAGAACATTATGACATCTGACATAATAGTGCTCTATTTTTAAAGGATCTATGCTCTAAAAGAACAATTACAGAATTATATGAGGAATATCAAATGGTCAGGAGGTAAGAAACCTCTTCATGTGTTTATTTTTCCCTTTCTCTTTAGGTATAGCTGAGCTGAAGACGAATTTTGTGTATATAGCTGAGGCTTATAGAGTGTCAATTTGCAGTGTTTCTTTAGTTAAATGTTTATTTATTAAAGACTCCATTTCACCGTGCAAGTCCTCATTTACTGTTGTATGCAGACACCTGTTAAATCCTGCGTGAAAGTGTTTACTGTGTAGTTCGCTTTTAATCAGTCAGGCAAGTGAAGTAGAAGATTGGCAAAGCTTTTAAAATAGAGGGAGCCATTGGAAACAAGGCCTGAACCACCAAGGCTGGAACAGGATACACCTCCACTGCTGCCTTGTGTAGCGGGCCTTTAAAGTTTGGGTTCCAAATGAGCTGTTTTGGTTTCTGTCATGGTACAACCAATTGAAAACAAACAGCTGAACCTTTTCTGAAAGTTCAGGACAGAGGATGGAGCTAACCTGTAGAGAACTAAATGATGGTTGTTATGTAGAGGTAGGATTTTTAGCATCACATATGAGTGGTTTCATGAATATTTCCTATTTTTTTCATCCAGATTTGTTGTTCTGCTATTTTTTGAGATTAGGAAAAGAGAGCTTTCCCCTTCATGGGACTCTAAAAAAATACAATGTGGAGATTTTCAGTGATTTATCAGTCAGAGGAAGGGGTACCAGCTGCCCATCTAGTTTGAATCCTTCATGATGGTGTCCTTAGCCATGTGTCATTGCTGTTGTTCTGATCGTTTATATTTTAAAGAGCAGTTCAATGCAATGGGCCAGTAAGGGTGTTCCACCCTATTTTGAGAGTTGGAGGGTACACTTTTTTTTTTTTTTTTTTTGAGACGGAGTTTTGCTCTTGCTACCCAGGCTGGAGTGCAATGGCGCAATCTCGGCTCACCGCAACCTCCGCCTCCCGGGTTCAGGCAATTCTCCTGCCCCAGCCTCCTGAGTTGCTGGGACTACAGGCACGCGCCACCATGCCCAGCTAATTTTTTGTATTTTTAGTAGAGACGGGGTTTCACCATGTTGACCAGGATGGTCTCGATCTCTTGACCTCGTGATCCACCCGCCTCGGCCTCCCAAAGTGCTGGGATTACAGGCTTGAGCCACCGCGCCCGGCCGGAGGGTACACTTTTTTAAGGAAAGAAAGTGAGTTAAAAAAAATTAGTTGTATTTCAGAATTAACTTAAATGTGCTTAAAATTTTCTTCTGTGTTTTGTTAACAATGTACTAGGATTGCAAATATTGTACTTTTGTATACTGTAAAGTCGGAATTGAAAATATATTAAATAGTAAAAAAAAAACACCTCAGACTTAGAGTCTAGAAATCTTAGTTTGTATAATAGGTCATAAGACCTTCAGAAGGATGAAGGAACTGGGCCCTATGCTCTGTAAATATATTGGTTTCGCCATTTACTGATAGCTTATTACGTGAGGAATTTTCCATAGTCTGGATCTTCATAGACATCCTCCTTGAATCCCCTGTGTGCATCTGAACATTTGTATTGTCTGATTCTACGGGTGATTGAAGTGCAGTGAGGTCTAGTGGCCTTTCCCAGGCCCCAAGTTTCACCTGTGTCCCAGCAGATAAAGTTGCAAATTGATCTAACTGTCAGCCTGGGGGACATGGGAACCCACCAGGGCCCTCAAGGAGACCTTGGTCATTGCACCTCCTGTCAGTGCTACCCCCCACACCCAGCTTTCAGCCTAAAGTTGAAAAGCAAACAGGACATCTTATTCTGAATAAATGGTACTACTAATACAAAGTTATTTAAAAATATGTGTTCCTCCCAGAATAGGCATTCCTTCATTAGCAATTGATTTAGAGAATCTAATGGTAAGAATAAGTGCATTTATTTTGACCTAGTTTGTGAGAAAATATGCAGAGATGACTTGGGAGGCAACATTTTCAAGGTAGCCCTTTCTGGCAGAGTTCGTGAGGTCGTGGAGAAAATTACTGTCACCTATGTGTCCCTGGATATATTAGTCAGTTAAAACAAATATAGTTGTATTTACAGAAATACCCCCCAAATGAGTGACCCACTCAGAATGCTCTGCCACCTGGTGGTTACTGGGTGCCTGCTTTGTAGGAAGCAACTGAGTGTCATTTCATTTAATTCTTAGGAAGCACCATCGGGAGGTAATGTGTTCCTGTGATATGACAGAAGATGCTGAGGTGGTAAACTCACTTGTCCAAAGTTCTCAAGCTGCCAAGTTACAGCACCAAGGTGTCCCCAGTTGATTTTTCTGAAAAGCCAGAGAGCTTGACTCCAGCAGAATAAACCAGGAAGGGTCAAGGTAGAGAAAAGTCATGCTGGACTTTGAAGAATTAGAAGGAATATTTTAATTAGAGAGGCTGGGGTGAGGAGAAGAGAGAAGACCCAGAGAGAAGGGTGTCGTGGGGGTACTGATGGCTTACAGAAGTGCATAGTGGAGGTGAAAAGTGCATGCAGGAGGCAGAGCTTGACCCTCTCTGACTAGGGTGCTGGGTTTGGATAGGATGTGGTTTTTGGGTTCTGAGGCTCTTTGTACCCACAGAGGTGGCCTGAGAGGCAGACTCCCAGGAAAGGAAGACACTGTGAGGATGGGACTCTCTCCGTGCCCGCGCTAGCAAAGGGGCTCACTTATGATACTTTAGAGTCTCAGGAAAAGCTTTAGTACTGTAGATTCTATGCTTAAAAAAGAAGTTGCAGCTCACTAGGGCAGCGGAATGTCAGAAACAAACCTTTCATTGATGTGCCTAATGGAAGTTTGACTACCATCTGTAACGCAGACCGGGGGCATCTCTGAATAGTTTTTAGAGAGAGACACAAAATAAAACCAGATATTTCTTTCACCGCCTGGAAGATTACACTGGCTATAGCCTTCTAGAAGGGTAAGAGTTTGCAGGCCGGGTAAGCAAATAGGCATCTATATATTGGAACCCTTACATACTGC